ACTTTGCAAGTTTTTTGGGTACGAGAACGCAAAACCAGTAAAAGTTTTCGAAAATTTTAGATAGTTGGGCGTACGAGTACACACCNCTCTTTCACATTTTGCTCTCTCAATTTCCCCTACTTTGCAAGTTTTTTGGGTACGAGAACGCAAAACCAGTAAAAGTTTTCGAAAATTTTAGATAGTTGGGCGTACGAGTACACACCTCATATCAAAATAAGTTTCATCAAAATAGCCATCCACAATTCGCAGAGTTTGGTATTCCTTTTTTGTATCACATTGAAATCGTACGACTGTCACGTGCGCCACCATGGGAATGCCCATATGAACTTCAGCAGGCCAAAAATAACTGTGTAAAACTCTCTTCTGCGAATAATTTAGTGCAATTCGTTTGTCGTTAACGAAAGGCAAGTGAAAAATTGATTTATTATGAACAAATGACGGAACATGGCCGACAACAAACCGGATGGGGCGTTTATTTTTGATTTTCTTACCGCAGATTCCTCAGTGTCAGCCAAGCCAAGCAATGCATTGACCTGTATGCCCAACAACTTGACCAGCACACATCGCTGTGCAGACATTCAGTGCGCTTAAATGAACATTGTTGCAATTTTTTCGTGTTGCGCGTTTCCGATACGTAGAAAGAGTATTCGAGAAAATAGATTATGCGCGCGAAAAGGCCCAACTGCAACCAAATAAGAAATAACAAAGTAACACAAAATCACTGACACTTTCATCCACTTCAGTGCACTGGTCAGCAACACCAGTTGGCAGTGGTCATGAATTTCTAATAAGCAAACATGTATTGCATGCAACAAAACGTATAAAATGATGAGCTCATGTGTTATGTTGTTGAAGCAAAAGAATGCAACAGCCATTGCAATTGCAGCATACTCAGAGCTAAAAAAAATGTATAATAACTAAAACTAAATCACACTAAAAAAAAACATAGTAGGTAATAAGCATATTGCTTGGTCAGGAACTTAAGTATGAAATAAAGACTGATACCTTCGGTGAGGAAGAATTGGTAGTATTAAGCACTGTCAGCGGTATACGTAATCTATGCGAACCATATTTGCATTCATAAAAGATGCGGATTCGATGGCATCGAAATTAATACAATTCTTCAAAGAGGTAGGTACATAGATATGCACATACATGTTTTTAAGAGATTTACTCATATTTTAAGTAAATTTTCCCGTTTTTACATCGCCATATAAACATCTATTTCTATGAGTTGTATTTGTATGTCATTGAAATGCTTTCATTTTTCGACAAAATGCCCAAGGAAATGCAAATTTGGACAAGTATGTTGCATTTTCTGAAACACAAAATGATAAAGCGTCGCCGCCATCGTCCTGGCCCACTGGAAACGGATATGTGGTTGCAATCGCAAAGTGAAATGGGTGTGATGCCGAAAATTGCACGCTTTCGCCTGCCATTCAAGCCGATTGTAGAGCAACCATTAAAAGATATTTTAGGCGAGGCAAATTATATTATTGTTGTTTTAAAACGACAATAATAAGCACTAAGTAGTAGGTTCTAAAATTAAAATAAAGATGATGACTTTCTCCATGAATCATAAATTGTTAGTCTATAGTGCACGTCAGATAGAGTAAAACTTATTCCGCATAAAGTACGCTTTTAAATTAGATACAAATATATATATTAAAATATATATACTTAAAATTACATAAATTAATCTATTATTTCTTAGATTTATGAAGCTGGTAATTTTTCTGCTTCAATCGGTGATGGCTAAGCTCGATTGACCTTTTCACCGCCTTTTGAAAGTCATACGATGCCTGTGTTTTAAAAACATCTACATAAAGTAAAAAAGAAAATATTAATAACCAAATATTTACTTTCAATAGTAGACGCAATTTACCTCGCAGACAGATCTCGACTAATTTTAATTTGCAAAGAGCCTGTTTCTCCCACCTGCCATCCCAATTAAAATTCATTAATAGTTCGTCAGTGAAAATGTATTTCAATACCGTAGAGACGTCTTCGGATGCTCCTTTCAATTTGTGGAAGTACGTTATCTATAGAAAAATGTATAGAAAGGAAGGTATGAGAATTTTAAGCTTGAAAGAAACCAAGCTTCATTACCATTGCTTGAGCGTATTCCGGACGATTCATAATTTTGTCCTCAATATCACTGACGGAAGTAATTGAATTGATTGGAAAACTGCTCGCCACCTCATCTAAAATTTGGTCTCGTACCTCGCCAGTCATACGTCCAATTGACAGTTCAATCTTTTGCAAAGTCACTTTGCACTCTCTCAGGATTTTGTTTTCTGCCAACATTTCCGACTTATTAACCATCTATTGGGAAACATTTGTTATCAATTAAAACATAAAATATACAGTGGTGGGAAAATGAATTTATACATAGGAACGCGATATTTAAATAAGTTTCGGCTGTTATTCCTTTGTTTATTCAATGTTTATTTTTTTATAAAAGTATGGTATAACATTAAATAAACAAGAAAAATAAATGCAGCATTTTTTCGAGAAAAGAAAACGCTATTAGTAATAAAAAAAACTCACCTTCTCGACAAGTTCTTCGACTTGGCGGCTAATTATTTCCTGGTTTTTTTTGCAGGACAACTTGCTAATGAAATGCATACATATCGAACATTGACAACATAAATTATTGCAAGAAAAGGCATTTATCGGATAAATGTCACTGTTGCCGATGTGATATAAGTATGAAAACGGAGATGCTATTACTTACATTAGTTTCGATCGTAGCCAAACGTAGGGTTATGACTTCCAAGGCATCCAGAATATCTGCAGATAATATCATATTAAGTTTAGCGATAATTTTAGCAGAAACAAACCTTTATTATCGGGTCTCTGTTGCCCATTTCTGCTTTCCTCCCTAACCTCCATCACTTCGTCGGAAGTTGTTTCATCAAAGCATCTTCTGACAATTGCAGGCTGGTTCGCTGGAAAGTGAGAATCATTAAATTATATATATATGCATATGTACACTTTTAAGGCATTTCACTTACCATAAAATTGGGTTTCATCAACGAAGGACTCGTCCAAAATAGAGTTGCTAGAATTCATGTGCAATAATTTCATGTTTTTTGCAATTACTTAAACTATAATTATCGGTAATTTGTTAATTATGAATGTGTGGTAAAGTTAAAAAAATCGTGAAACAAATGGTGTAGCAGGGGTATTAACAGAAACTTGCCACCAAACGGAATACAAAAATATTTATATTTTATATCTTTGAAGGCAATTTGAACTGTTTCAATGCCCAAATCACTTGCTACAACTATGCCCAAACTCGTGGATGAATGAAGAGGTTCAGTAAAATAGTTTTCGATTTTTTGAAAAGCTTTACAAATAATTATATCCGATTCCGTTGATTTTATGACATCCACAACCTTAATAGGCCCAATTTTCTCACAAAAACAATAACTATCTACTAACTACGCCTAAGTCAACTAAATGCATAGAATCAAGGGGAAATTGCGAAACCATCCTGAATCCGGCTTCTTCCAAAACATTTATTTTTTTCTTTAAACTGTGTAAGGTGATGAGAAATATTAGTTCTTAATTCAAAGGAGTCGTCTGATCTAAGGACTCCAATCTTGTTTGAAAAACACACTCTTCTCTCTTTGTATGTTCCCTCTTCACATCATTTGGGGCAGCCGTTTTTTCCATTATGCCCTATAACACCGGTAACGAACGCTCTAGCTGGAGAATCACAAATGAAAACCCGAACATTGAATGCTTTTAAAACTTGATTGGAGCCTACTTTAATACCGTTTTCTTTTAGAACCTTGTATTCGGCACAAAAATCGCGCATGAAGTCATTTATGTCTTTGGGTTTTCCATGCCCAGAGAAGCAAGCAATGACAAACGGGCTCTTAGTAGGATAATCTGAAAGTGCTCCAAGAATCGGCCACAGTACACGGTTTGAACTTTTAAATACCCGTCACCGTCAACCCCCACATCAATGGAAATTTCTTCCTTATTTTGTAAAAAATTAAGAGTTTTGTCAAAAAAATAGTTTTGTACTCCTAGGTACAGAAATTCACCGTTTGGAATTTTTGATATATTCGTTTTTTGCCTGCTGGTCCCCAAAAGAGTTTTTGCTGAAAGAGGTAAATCACTTACTCCGATTCTATTTAAAGTTTGCAATAGGCCGCCTAGAGCATTTCGAGAAATATTAAATTCAATAGCCCACGATTTAATTTCTTCAATTTTATTAACCCCAGGAACACTTTCTACAGGGGTCTCTAAAACTTCTTCTTCACCACCGGAGCTATGTTCATCGGATGAAAATCGCTCCGAATTTTCACTATCAGTAACATTTATACTGATTTCACTTTCTATTTGTTTTAATTTTACCACACTTTCTGTTACTTGATCAGATTCCAAAAGTTCTTTGAATCTTTTCACATTGGATTCAAAGATCTTTTTTTCCCTGCTCATGCAATTTTCAAAACTCCTTTTATTCATTTTATTTTTCTTTTAAAATACTTATCTTCGGGTCTTATCTGTTTAATGCTGAGATATATTCCGCTTTTGATGGCTAAAAACTATAAAAACTATAAAACTTTTAATTTGAAGTATACCGCACGCAACTTTTCACACAAATTTACCGCGTCACTTTGTATTTTATATTGATGGAAAAATATTGTAATCTGAAGTAGTCGGTACCCGTACTTTCGGTTTTCTCAAATTAAGTTTTTCGCGTAACTCTTGTTCTAAAATACTCATTTAGGTTTAAAAAAGTTCTAGCTCCTTTGGAGACAATGTAAGCTTTAATTAAAACTTCCGAAGTTAACCATTTCATAAAATATATATTTTAGATTTAATAGGTACTCGGTTATAATTTGCATTTTTCGGTAGCAACTACTTTTGAGAAGCAAGAAAAGCAACCCTGCCAAATCAGCTGATCAGTACCCTCGAATATCTGCCTTTCGCTTTTTCTCAGTCACTGAATGGTCTCTTTCTCGCTAATGCATTTTCAATACCCCAATTTTACACGGAAATGTACATGTGTTAGTTGAAGGAATGAGCGTGTAGTAGTTTCAGTCAGNAGGCTCTGTTATGCATACTTGGCATTGCATGCACTGCTATACCATTTTTACGTAGAAATCAAAAACCCAGAGACTTCTACGTATGTAGTGCTGTGCGTTCGATAACCGATTACACGCGGGGCTCATTTAACAGATTTCTTATGTGACAGCTCTCAAGCCATGCCAAGTATGCATAACGGAGCCTTTAGTTGAAGGAATGAGCGTGTAGTAGTTTCAGTCAGTCGTGTCCCGTAGGGTAACTAACGCCGGAAAGATTATTTGTCATAAATTTTCTTAATGTTTATTATTATCACTCCCAGATAACGAGCTTACAGGCGTACCTAAATTAGCGCGTTGAGCGTTTCGCTTGTATCTTTATCTCTCTCTGACGCATTAAATTTATGTACGCTAGAAGAAGAGAGGCCGACAGGCTTAACGCTTGACGCGCTTATTCAGGTATGGCTCTTAGTGTCTGATAATTGCGAAAGTTGGTTTCCTCTCATGCAAATGCACACTGTACTTAAGGGCTCAAATGATGTAGCAAAAGTGCGTGACTACTTATGCATGTCTGCCGTGAAGAATTCTATTCAAAATCCAGACATATCAAAATAAAGACAAAATTCAAAAATGCAGAAAAATCAAAATACCGGCAAATCAAAATCCAGACAAATCAAAATACCGACAAATCAAAATACAGACAAATCAAAATACAGACATGAGGGGAAAAAATGTCGGTATACAATTTTTGCAAATCAAAATCGTGTCTGTTAAGTCGTAGTTAGGCTCGCAGAGAGATCTGCGCAAAAATACTGTGGGAAAAATATTGGGGAATACTTTTCTAAAAAAATCCCGAATACACCCCTAACCTTCTTCATCAAAACAATTTCAGTGTACCGGAATTTATTTAAAAAATTTTAATTAGTAAGTATTTACAAACAATCATTAACTACTTATATTAAATTGAGATGCTTAGCTATATTGGGTAAGTATTCTTTGGGAGCATAGTTTTCCCTTTCCATAACAATTGTTTTAAATGTTCTATTTTCCAGGCGTCGCCGTTTAGCTTGTTTTTCTCCACTAAGCACCGTTTCAATTTTAGTTTCTACAAAAACTTGCTCTTTTATCAAATTTGATATTAGATTGAATATATTTCCATGGTATTGCCAAACTAAACATGAAAGACGCGCGATTTTTCATTCCAAATTTTCGCCTGCGGCGTTTTTTTATATTAAATTATATTTTAAGAAATACTGAAAATTTGGAATAAAAAATCGCGCGATTTTTTATTCCAAATTTTCGCCTGCGGCGCTTTCTTTAACAAAAAAACGAAACAATATTTAAATATATACTGAAAATTTCCGCCACTTTTTTAAATAGGAAACATTCTAAAAACCTAATATTATTTTAATTTGTTGTCTGCATTTTGATTTGTCTGTGTTTTTATTTGTCTGTATTTTGATTTGTCTGTATTTTGATTTGTCGGTATTTTGATTTGTCAGTATTTTGATTTGTCAGTATTTTGATTTGTCAGTATTTTGATTTGTCTGTATTTTGATTTGTCTGTATTTTGATTTTTCTGCATTTTTGAATTTTGTCTTTATTTTGATATGTCTGGATTTTGAATTTCCGGATTATGAATGTAACCGGTAACAGACTCAATATTGTACTCCTTTTTTTTGAAATTTTATGAAATCCTCTTTGACAATCCAATAGATACTGCGTTTTGTCAAGCATGTCACTAATCCATCTAAAACATTTATGATACTTTATTTTGTTGCAAACTATGCACCTGATGGGGCGGATCAAGTGGAAGCTTCCTATGAATGCTACAAATATGCGCTGGCGCATGAGGAACTCATAACGAATGAAAAGTATCAGGATCAATTGGTTAAAATTAAGCGTAAATACCCTATAATTAAAACGCAGCACTTGCTTTACATTTATGGACTCACCGATGAAAAACTTTTGTGACTGGTTGAGAAACCAACTGAACTTATTTATAGCCTTTACCACCATGAGCTGATTTTGAAATCAAGTAAATTGGNGGCCGACAAATTGAGAGAACGGTTCTACCTTGCTATGTTTTTATCATGGACTCACCGATGAAAAACTTTTGTGACTGGTTGAGAATCCAACTGAACTTATTTATAGCCTTTACCACCATGAGCTGATTTTGAAATCAAGTAAATTGCATATTAATACAGTTGCGAAAGAAATCGCCGAACTGCATGGCTTAGACTTGCAAGCAATACAGTTTCAGTTATTGCAAAAGTGGTTGGCTTTCACAGTCGATGCCGGTAGTGCGAATATACTTGAGGAGACATTCTTCGAAGATCACAATTTAGTGGAAGAGGAGCAAACGAATGCGGGTAATGCGGCGGAGAATGTTATAAGGTGGGAACGATTTGTTAAGTAATTGTAGCGAAAATTTCAAACAAAATATTCGTATCTTTTTTCAGAGCCAATTATATACTCAACAGTTGGCCTAAGAAGCAAGCTAAAGAATTTTTAGTAGCGCACATTTTTCCTGCTGATGGGTAAGAATTGATCCACTAATAGTTTATATTAATACTGTTCGTATTTACCTTTTTTTTTGTAATGAACGTAGAAGTGTAAATACCAGCAAACAGCTACAAATGTACGAATGCTTCTCAAAGTTAAACGATGGCAGCGAGTCCTTTAAGAACGTACTCAGCCAAAAGCAATACATAACGATTAAATGCATACATGAGTTGAAGCAGTTGGGTTATAATTCGAGTTTGGAAAAGTTCACAAACTGCAATAAAATCGACATATTGAAAACAATTTGGCAACGCAATGCTCAAAATCCGCATACACTTGAGATATTAGCAAATATTTGTCATATTGAAGCGCATGGCAATGTTCCATATGGTGCGTGAATTGGATGCCCTAGTGGATGTGCTGTCGTGTGAACCCAAGTTGTTACATACAGAAGGTTTAGTAGTGGCGTGGGAATGTGTGTTGTGGCAGCCCTTCAAAACAGCTAATCAAACGAGATCATTTGCGCAGGAGGAATTATTGCAAAAGACTCTATTTCGCTTACAGGTGAATACTGGAGAATATTTGTAACATTTTTATGCGTAATGCATTTTGTTTTGAAATTTCAGAGCTGTCCAATAGTGCACAAGTTAAATTTATTTGATTTTGCTGAGCTCTGCATTAATCTGGAGCGACCTCATATGGCGGCTGTGGCGATGGCTTTGTGTCGAGATGTCGGAAAACGTGATCAAATCAAAAAAGTGGGTTTGTTAAGTTTTTATGGTGAAATACATATTTGAATTGTTTATTTTTATATTCACCCTCAGCTTATTTTGCCGCGAAAAAGTGAACAGATGCGGAAAGATCTTATCGAACTGGAAGATGCGGGACTGCTTTCGCTAGTTCTGAACTTTGCGCAAAAGGAACTGGATTTTTAGGGCTATAGTATTAGCATATTACAGATTTGTAATATAATAGAATTGTGCAGTAATTATTTATTAATAAAAGTTTTTCTTTAAAACTTAATTATTGCGTCCAGCAGTGCAATTCCGAGAATCGCTACGCTAAATTTTCGTCGCCAAAGTTCTCTATCAGGTATACTGTGCACGTTACCGAAGATTTTGTAACCGGAAAATTTTATTACCAAAAAATGTTACCAGTGCCAGAGAACGTTTATAAATGTTCTCTGCCAGTGCTTGTCACCGCGATGCTGGCAACGTTGGTAATGCAGTTAATATATTCAGCAATTCAGCTATGAATTGTGGAAATTCTGGCATTAGATATTTCACGGGTCAATATTTTGTTACCAGCTTATGGTAACAAAATTTACTGGTTACAAGAGTACACAGAAGTTCTGTGACAATGCGAAAAGGGTTTAAAACTTCCCTGCAAAAATCGTTGGACCATGTAGTCTATTTGTGGTAAATTACAGGAACTTTATTACCGGTAACAATTTTTATTACCAGCGCAGAATTGACCTGTAAATAACAAGCAGCTAAAGGTATGCAACATGAAAAAGTAACAAATTAAATGTGTAATCAGACAAATATGGCAGTTTGAGCAGAGAACGTTTATAAACGTTCTCTGGTTTGAGGGCCATGTTGCATGTTGTTAGGCGCGCCTGCTATTCCTTTAGAGATTTTTGGCGACAAACTCAACTAAATTTAAATTAACGGAAATTAAAGAATACGCAAAAAGTGAGAATAATCTAAAAAGTAAAAAAAGTGAATTGAAATTGGAAGGAGGCAAAAAATAATTGATATAGTAAGTGTTTATTGTGCTTGTGCTTGTGTGAATGTGTTTTGTACATACGTTTCCATTCTTATTTGACGTTAGCTTTGTTGTTGCCATTCTTTGGACTAAAAATTTGGTTTTTTGCGTTCCTTTACCAGAGAACGTTTATAAACGTTTATTTATAAACGTTCTCTGACGCGGTTTTATTGTGTTAAATTGCAAAATATATGATTTATAAAAAGAATTAATAGCGAAAATGTTAAAAAACGGCGATTTTTGTGAAAGTATTAGCAAATTTAAGTGGATGAAAGGTTTCTGAGGCGTTGTGTACTTTTACTTGAAAATTGTAAAAATCGGCAAATCCCAATTAGCTGTTTCTGGGACGTGCCACATTTGTTCGCTACTTCGTGATGTGATAAAAAGAATAGCTGGCAGCACTCCGCAAGGTTGCAGAAATCTCTTAAAATATGTTCGAAAAATATCTTAATATGGAAGGGACTGCTTTACACTGTCAAGGAAAATAGTGTTCAAAACTCAACTCAATTTTTAACAACTTCAATCTTGCACTTTATTATACTAAAATGAATTTTTTTTTAGAGTCTAATTAAAAAGTTTGCCATTTGGGTGAAACCCAAAATTACCACATTTTTTTGATATCTACCACATTTTTTTCCAGATTCTACTACACAGAATTTTTTGAAAGTCCGATCACTGGTTGAGGGCCTTTTTCCACTTTGCAGCCGGCAGAGTCAGGTAACCCGTGAAATTTTTCATTTTTTATTTTTTTTTGTCAAGGTACTCACGCATCTCTGCCTATCTTTCTTCTTTTTAAAAATATGTCTCTCCTATCATTTTTCCCACGCGGGTCGGAATGCGTTGTAGGATGGCTTGGAATATCACGTGCTCTACCCCCGTAACCGTGATTTCAAAAATTCAAAATTAGCTGTATCTAAGGGGTACTGGTTAAAAATAAAAAATAACGCGCAGATACCCCCAGCTCCATTTTTAAATTTATGTTTAAAGGCTCAACAACTCGAATAGTTCAATGGGAAGTCCAAAGCGGTACCGGGTGGAACTTTTTTTTGTAGCTCATAAACTTACCAAGTTTCCTACCTCGTACGGTCAGCACAAATATTTTACCAAAAATTATGCCAACGGTGATGATGATGATGAAGTCTGCGAAGATGGGAACATGAGATCTTGTTGATTGTTAATTTTATTAGTTTAGGATATGTAACAATATCAGAAAAATTTTCCATCTTTGATATCCTTTTATTGTCTTTTTTTAATTCCTCTATCTCGCGAAATTGTTGGCCGTGGTGGGCTTTTCCTTTTTTTTTCATTCAAAAGATTATGGGATGCTTAATCATACCAGATGTTTCTGTGTGTGATCGATCCCACTGCTCATTTATATCGGGCAGATGAGAAGTTTCTTGTTTAAGCAAGATTTAGAGTCGTCGATTGTTGGACCAAATACAACCCATAATGTATGTTTGGCTTTTAAGCGAATTGTGCCAATACGGTCACTTATGAGGGTAAACCTAGATTAGTGATGCTCAAAACAGCTCCCGCGGGCGGATCTCTTTTAAAGATCTTTATAGATTTTATATGGACGCGCACAGATTAAAAGCTCTCTCTGTGCATCACTGACCTAGATACAAGTCCAACGCCGTAATATATGTATGTATGTCGCACGCTGCAAATTTTCCTGTACTGTTTTGATGTTAGCCTGGTATTTCTCTAAGCACCAGTCCTATGGAGGTTCCGGAGTCCTGACATTCCAAGCGCATATCTGTAAATTTGGGGTCAGAGGGTTAATTTCCCGCTGCTTTTTTAAGATTTATGATTACATTTGTATATCTCGGTAACCGCTTTACCGATTTCTCCTAAACTTGGCACGGTTGTTAGCCCTGGTAAACCGTTTCACACGGCTGAAAATTTTTAAAATCAGCAATAACCACGCCCACATACCATATAACGGTAATTTAAATAAATACGAAACCTTCAACGCGAAAACTGATATTTGCCATACAACTTTGGCAAGAAATACGTTCGTATAAAATTTTTGGAAAATCGGATTGGCACCGCCCACTTATGTGTATCTCGATAATCGTTCCATCAATTTATGCCAAACTCTATACAATTATTGTACTTGACACACAAAAGCATGCAGTTGAAAATTTTTTAAATCGGACTAAAATTACGCCCACTTTTTATATAACGGTGAATTTATGAAATACGGAAAGCTCGATATTTCGAAATTTAAAGACGCCAATTTACTCAACGTTGATACTCTCAACAATCTCTTAAAAATAAATAAAATTATTGAGGAGTTTTGGAAAAGTACCGCTGACTTATAACTACATATATAAGTTTATCTCATTAACCGAATAGTACCAGGCTGACCGATCTTTGCTTGAAATGCATTTACTTTTTAAAGTTTTCAATGATTGGATATCAAATACTGGGCATTTGGATAGCTTTAAAAAATATATCGATGGCTGAGTGGAAGATCGACCTATCTCGGCAGCCAGTTCGGAAACGTCCTATCTGAGAAAACTTTTCAAAAACGCCCCCCTTCAGAATTTGATTGAAAATGCCATATTTCAGAATTTTATTGAAAAACACCCTATCTCAAACGAAAATACATTGAAAATAACCTGAGATAGAGCGTTTTTGAACCGGCAGCAAAGATAGGGCGTTCTTCAACCAAATTCTGAGATAGGGCGTTTTTCAACAAAATTCTGAAGTAGGGCGTTCTTGAAAAGTTGTCTGAGATAGAGCGTTGTTGAAAAATTTTCTGATAGGGCGTTTTCGAACTGGCTGCCGAGATTAAAATCTTAAGATTGTTAAAAAAGATAAAACTAATAAAAAAATAAAAATAAATAAAAATTCCTCTATTCCCGAGGAGGACTTGAACCCGGACCCCCTCGGCTGCCAGCCTAATGCTTTGACCACTCGGCCATTGCGACTCTTTGAGCGGCGCGGGCAAAAGGCATACATAACCGCTATCAGTTGATTGTCTNCCAAATCGCCTCAAGTCACAAAAATAGTCACTAATTGCTAATCTCAAATTTAGTGAATTGAGATGAGACTGAATTACTGAATCCCAGGGTTAAAATACCTTCCATTTGATAACCATATTATGATGCTTTAATTAATTTGTAGATTATTTCGAATAGGTGGCAACGTTATACGAGTCTTCGCGGAGAAAATACCTATTCAGA